TATTATCATGGCAATCATTTCATTCATATGACGTGTAAACAATAAATATGTAATTCTTACATCACGTCTCTCCGGTTTGAAATGAAAGCTTTAGCGCAAGTTCAATAAGGAAGACCTAACTCGAGTCACTCACACGTCACTCTATGGCTCCCTTCCCCCCTCATTAAATACGAGGGCGTCACCCCTCAGCAGCCAATCGCTGCACATGCTAAATGCCTTAAATGCCTGCTCTTCCTCCTTGTCAGTTGTCATTGCAGATGATCACACGCAACCCGCCTCCACCCCTCTCGCCTCCTGTCTCCTTCAGGACAAAGCTAAACCTTCCTCCTTCAGACCGGTCTCACCTACTCATCACCACCACCAGTGTCTAGACCCCGGGGATTTCATCGGAGCGGTGCTTTCCCTCCTGAATGATTATCCTGCAAACCGGGGCCTAATCGCCAAACACCATTACATTCTCCTGTTGTATTATCATGGCAATCATTTCATTCATATGACGTGTAAACAATAAATATGTAATTCTTACATCACGTCTCTCCGGTTTGAACTATATTACTCATGAAATATTTATTAACGAAATATTTCAGAAATTAATTTGAAACTTTATCAAATTAGGCTTAATCAAAGCAGCCACACACTCATTTAAACCAGACAGGTCACAACATTAAAAATGAGGCAAAGGAAACTCAGCAGAAATTCAGCACAGAGAACTGTCAATGCAAGGAAGCTGCATTGTCCATGGTCCTGAACTACAAATTATATTATAAACATTTCAGCAATCACCATTGAAACATGTGCTATTGTAAATATGTTGCCGACTTACAAATTAGTGAGATACATGTGCCTGTCGGGGCGCGCAGAATTTTTTAATCCTTGGTGGCACTGAGGAGAGGGCCACTCGCAAGTCCTGCTCAACAGAGAGCCGTGACCTCCTGTTGTTCTTCATGTAAATCAGAGTAGAGAAGGCCAACTCCAGAGATGGGGTCGTTACTAAAAAAATGTAATATATTACATATTACTTAAAAAAAAAAGTAATATATTACACTACTTCGTTACTATCTACATAAAGTAACTCGTTACTTTACTCGCCAAGCGAGCACGTACGAACTGCACATGCGTGAGTGGCAATAACTTTCCTTACCAGCAGGCGGCCGTAGTGTGTATTTGTCATTCAAAACAGGCAACAACCGGAAGACAGAGAAGAAGAACAGACTACGTGATATAAACAAAAAAGCATGTGTTCTTTGCAGGTGTTTGTTGAGGTTTGACGTGGTGTTTACAGCAGTGGATAACAGCTTCTGGCCTGGACACAGTTTGCACCTCACCGTCACATTCCTGTCTATTCTTCGGACGAACTCAAAATAATGGGCATACCTCCACCCCTGGAAAGTTATCGCTGACTCAGCCATGTTTATGCAGCACTGCACGTGGAGATGTGGACGCGTAAGTCGCGCATATTACGTACATATAAACCTACAAAGTACTGATGTAGTAAATTAAAAAATAATTATTTTTGTGTAGTTGTATTGCAATGATAACGTATGGTTGTCACAAAATCCCACGGCACACCCGGACTTGCCTCACGGCACACCAGTGTGCCGCGGCACACCGTTTGGGAACCACTGGTTTAGATGATGATGATGTACGTGAAGCATTGATATGAGCAAACACATCCAATGTAATTTGATGTTCATCATAGTATTGAGAGATAGGTCTTATCAGATACCTTCAGCTGCGGGTACTCCTCTATATTGTTCTGTGTGCCTCCAGAGCACACTAAAACACGAGATCTGAAATGAAAGCAAAAAAAACAGCTTATTCAGGTACTATAGGCTACATGCACAGTCACTTCCGCATTCTACTCATAGCGGCCGATTCATTTCCTGTTTGAAAATGACGACCTTCTACACCCGCTGCCTACAAGAGCTTCCGAAATTAAAAATGTCAGATGTTCATCGGATTTGCCGGACGACTAAAGCCCCAGCCAGCAAACTCGATAAAGGCTTCAAATTATATGCTGCGTCATATATACACAACTATGAAGGTAAGAAGGTAACCGGTACTAACCAGCTAGCTTATGCTCCGGGTTACGCTAACATTAGCTGTCAAAAGCTAGGTAACGCCAGAGCCCTATAGTATAACTACTATTATTATTATTATTATACTACTACTATAGTAGACTACTATAGGGCTCTGGGTAACGCTATGTACTGTTTCTGGTGTTAATTCTTTAAAACATTAGCCATTTTGCTAACAAATACTATCGTTTAATAGCCTTATAGCCTAGCCAAGGTTATCTTGTTGTTAGCCACACTGCATAATGGTATCAGCTTTTGTAAAGCAATGTTGCCATAGATGTGTTGACGTGAGTATAGATCTAACGCTGTTGCTCTGTTTTTCTTCATTCAGTGTCCAATAAAGACAGGCTGACAGGGCAGGTCAGCGTGAGAGCCTTGTGCTACAGGTCAATGCGGAAGAGCGAGACAGCACACAGTTTGAGTGTAGGCAGGCAGCATTGACACTGTTCCCCCCTGTTTATTGAGTTTCAGTTCAGTTAAACATTAGTTTACCTTAAGGGAATCTCAACAGTGTCCTACTTCTCCCTGCTTTATCACAGCTGATTGGTCAGATATTATTACATTGATTATGGATGTGTAAGTTTGGGGGTTCAAATATATAGTAAAAACTGCTTTAATACAATTTTCAAGGCATCTTAGTTTCCAAAGAAAGTTCATTGTGGTATTGTAGGGTAAGAGGGTAACACTAAGCATTCAGGAATACATGCTTCTTCTAGGATAATGGGTCAGTAAAAATAACCAATAATTCTACTCATAATAACCTCCTGGCTCATAGTAACAAGTGAGGTTACTAATCACTAGTATTTCTTCTCTCTTTTTTAGATAACGCTTCGTGATTCATCACCAGTGGTGCTCACGCACAACCAGTGCTCCTGTGTTGCAGGAACTGTTTTGTGCAATCACACAGTAGCATTGCTGTTCCAAACAGCACACTACACTGAACTGAACATGCCAGTTGTGCCACCTGTGCATAGCTGTACTGAATCGGAACAGCAATGGCACAAGCCGCGAACAATGGTAATTTCAATGAGGTTCAAATACTTGTAATCTTTCACAGAGTTTTTGTTTTAAAGTGACTCAACGAACAGTAATTGTCATTTCCTTAAGGGTGTGAAGCCAGGGCCCATCAACTCCATGGTCTTCACCAAGCCTGTACCAAATAGGATGGTGCAGACTGGAGTAAGGTAATTTTAGCTGGAAAATTGTGTTTCCTGTGTTTTTAAAATTCATAATTCTGGTGCTGTATTCTTAACCTTTATTGTCACATTAATGTGCTATATTGTCTTTGCCATTCTTTGTAGGAGTGGATTCTACAGAGGCATGGTGGGGCCATTACCAGATCCCTGCCTGTTCAGAGTTACGGAGGCATACTCAGCATTCAGCATTGAAGACAGGCCGCTTGTGACCACAATGAACATGAGACCTGACAAGCCCCTTGTGGAAAGTGCCTTCGGGATTGTGCAGGAGGGCAGTGTTCTGTCCTATCAGATGCCTGCTTTGACGTCTCGGTACACCACACTTCACACTGACACACCACCAACACCCCACTTGCCCATAGAGGGGTATGTGATCTTGCCATGTGATTTACCGCTGGTGTGCTCAGAAGAGGAGCAACTACTTATGAACAGCTTATCTGTTGATTTGGAAATGTCTCACAAAATTGAGGAGGCTACCCGTGAGCAAAGCTCTAGCTCAGAGTGGCATCTGCTCCGCACACCCAGGGTTACTGCCTCTAGGTTTAGAGAGATTTGTCACGTCAGAGGTGAGAGCTCTGCTAACTCTCTTGCAGAGCGAATACTCAAAGGTACAAGGCAGACTGCAGAAATGAGGAGAGGTGCCGAGATGGAGCCCACAGTAGCAGCTGAATACAGTAGACTGGCAAACGTGAACTACTCCCCTTGTGGCCTTGTCATTCACCCCTCTACGCCCTGGCTTGGTGCCTCCCCTGATGGAGTTGTTTTTGACCCAACAGAATATCCCCAATTTGGCCTTGTTGAATTCAAATGTCCCAATGTCCCAAATTATGTCGACTGCAAATATGTGCAGATGGAATGTGGCTCCCCTAAGCTCAAGAAAAGCCATGCCTATTACTGGCAAGTACAGGGTCAACTTCTTGTATCTGGGATGCAGTGGTGTGATTTTGTAGTGTGGGCACAAGAGGACTACCTGGTGCAAAGAATATACACAGATCCAGAAGTGCAAAGAGCAATCAGAGAAAAAGTAGACTTTTTTTTTTACACATACATGCCGAAGTACCTGTCATTAAAAAAGTAGTGGGCACTGTAGCCATTGTTAACTCTGTAAGCAGTTAGCTGCTAGACCCTGGCTCAGCCGTCATTGTTTTTAGGAGGCAATCCCTCAATCATGTGTTCTGAATGACAACAAAATGTGATTTCAATATTTTGTTTTTGATATATATTGTTTGTCACATTTCATATATGTAAATAAATATACAATTGTATTTAAAAAGACAATAAAGTGAAGTGATTTGTGTAATGAATAGTAAATCAGTGCATTTGTAAGAAATCAACGCATTGTAATTTGCTATTTACCATTTATTCAAACAAAACACTAGCGTGTGTCAGGCAACACGGGATTACGGTGTGCTCACCCAGCTTAATCACAGCTACCTGCACAGGTGTCATCATCTTGTCTTATTTCACCCATTTCTTGACCAGTGCTTTGTTCTGATAGTTTGACAGCATACATGCTACTGCAAACAGTTGGTTGATGTTGTAGGCATGGGACAGGAGGATGACACCATCAAAAAGTTTGTTCTCTTTTATCCTCCTAATGACACGCTCCACATGAACCCTCAGTCTGGCAATGGCCTGTGTCTCCCTCACCTGATAGGCTGGCATTTGCTTCTGCTTTGACAGAAAAGGTGGGCAGTACACCTTGCATTTGCAGCAGTGGCTGATTAGGAAGCCCTTATCTACCATCACTGCCATGTTTTCAGTCAACAACGCAGCTATTCCAGATTGTTTGAAAATCTCCTTGTCGCTGACAGAACCACCATACAGACTGGAAACAAATGTCACTGCGCCATGTGGGGCTATGCCAACCAGGGCTTTCATGGTGCAGTGAGATTTGTATGTAGAATACATTTCACTTTGGAGGAGGAGTGAGGATGGTGTTTGACACCTCAGCTCTGTGCAATCCAGGATCACCTGTGTGTCTGGGAAATCTTTGAATGCCTCTGGGAGGTGGGCTTGAACTTCTGCAGGTGTAAGCCAGATGCACTGTGACCCCAATAAATTGTAAGAAAACTCGTCCATGTTGCAATGATGCGGCTCACAGTGGACTGGTGTACGTTGAAGCGGTTTGCAAGGTCCCTCTCTTTCAAACCCACCGACAGGAAGCAGAGAAAAAGGAAGAACTCGTCAATTGGCTGAAGCAGCTGTCTCTGGAAGATAAACAAAAAAAGGGTACTATATTAATGTCATGAGTGTAGCACACCATGGGAAAAACATTAAGTTGTTTTAGTTCTGATGTATTCAAAAAGGATTGAGTACTATAGCCTTTTAGCCTACACGAAAGCAATGAAATGTTGGAGAAACATTTTCCCTTCAGTTTGTGTTTAGATTGTGTGTTAAAAGAAACGTAGCCTACCGTTGATGGACGTGCGTGTGTAACCACTTCTTCATTCCTCTTGGCAGCTGATATCGCTCTTGTAACACGAACCATTTTATAAATGGAAGGCTCAATCAAAAACCAGAAGGCCATCAGGTGGTTATAGCTCGGGAATCTGTACACAAAAGACACATGTCAGTCATTAATTGACTCTAACTGTAACACATGGGCTAATGCTTTCCTCTTGTTTGCTATAATACATTACAATTCAAATAGACTGATTAAGAAGGCACTTGGTGCAGGTATAGTAATATACAGCAGTAACATGTAACAACTACATTAAAGCAGCAGTAATAATAATCTAAAACATACAGGGAACATTTTACACAGAATTACTACTTTTACTCTTCATTCTTAAGTGTGCAACTGGGAGAAACGCAGTGGATATTGACATGTACTTTTACTTTGGTAAGGTTTTGAAGATTTCCACTTGTAGTAAAGTATTATCAGTATGTTGTTAGTATTAGTATGTTTTACTCCACCACATTTAGTTAACCTTCATAGTTTCTAGTTACTTATGAAAACACATGATTTATGATTCTACATGTTCAGTTCAGGAGTATTTTCAAACCATAGTATTTGTACTTATACTTCAGTTAAGTTGAGTAGCCTACTTATTCCAACACTGCATGCAAATAGTCAGCAGTCAAACGGCAGGTAAACAGGATTCTTTATAAGCTAACCCATCTCAAAAACTTGGATAGAATTTAGCCAAAACATTACCTGGTATAGAATCGGATGTTGTCGTCGGAGCCAGCAAACCGCTGTAAGCAAAACTCTCGCTGGACTCTTAACTCCTGCAGTTGCTTCTGCAGATCCTCCAATGTTTTGGAGTTGTCTTCTGTAGCTTGAGAGGACATGTCCAGTGAAGCTGGTTCAGGGGTTGAGCAGTAATCATGGTCACGGACATCGATGTGCTCTTCCTGCTCCTCCCGAGAGACTGGTTCAGTGGGCCGCTCCCTTCTCTCCCAAACACTAGCCCGCGGTGTTTGAGCAGTGAAGTGATTCCACTCAAACAGAGTTGGGACAGCACCTTTCACAAGCCTCGTACGGCCATCAAGGGTTTTTGGCTCCATTAGTTGATCCGTAGCGAAGTGACGACTGCAGACCTTGGAGTGAGAGGAGATTGTAAAATTATCGCGTCGTATTTTAACCAGCCACTGTCTTCGCAGCTCGAGTTCGGTCGGAAAGCCATGGAAACTTAGGACGCCGTTGAATTTAGCTGACGACGTACAAAGTGGGACACAGCAGTGCTCGGAGTAGTTATTTACTTGTCTTTGCAAATGCTCCGTTTTGAAAATCTTCCGTCGACTCATATTTAAACCACAGATTTAAACAGTAAAACATTTGTGGACGCTCAGCTACGCAGACCGGAAGCGTCCGAGCAGTATAACGGCTAAGGCGGAAGTACGTCTCAGACCCTAGTGCCTGTAGCCTATTCTGATTCTAATGGAGAGGCGAAGTCACGCCCATCTACTTCCGGACCATGGGACCCCGGAAGCGAAAAATTTACATTGATTTCAATGGAGAGAGAACACATATCTTTTGATCCCGTTTGAATTGTGCCACAAACTACACATATGATGTTTGTCAATCTTAAACAATCATTTCCATGTCAAAAAAGTCACATTTTGTCGTAAAACTGCTGAAATATAAGACTATGAAAAATACGCTACTACAAAGACTACAAATCCCAAATCCCATTCTGGGTCGCGTAAGTGATGTCACAGGCATGCTCGGTGATTTATAATAAGACTCGTAATTAAAGCGAAGAAGAAGAAGATCTCATAACTGATTTATTCCCTCCAATAAATTATAGATCGCTAAAAATAAATTCACTTTTACAAGATGCCTGTGTGCTTTGTACCAGGTTGTAGTCATAAAAGTGATCATACCACTTGCTCCTTCTATCGATTCCCGTCTGATGAAAGGACCAGGAGTAGCTGGATCAGACATATCAGGTAATATCATATGTAATATACATGTTGTGCATGTTCATGTGCATAGTCAAGTTAGCTACCTAGCTAGTAGCGACGAGTAGCGAGCACGTTAGTTAGCATTACATTACTTAGCCTTGTCATTTTTAGTAGCCTTACCATGAAGTTATTATTTTATTACATGAATTAAACCAAAATGTTAAACAGTAACCAAACATGATGGTAAGTATTTCGTGAAACATTTGAAGAGTAGCCTACTGCGCCCTCCACCGGGTGCTAAGGAAGCAGTTCAGGGAGAGTCGAAGGCAGGCAGGGAGCTTTGCATGACATTCTTCTGGACGTGTTTCATTGTGATGACAATCTGTTTGTTGGAAAGACAGTCGTTGTGTGCTTATTGAGAGAAAATTGTTAGAAGAGATAATTATTCAAAGTGTTGTTACTTTAAAGTGTTGTTACTGACCTTTTTCTCTTTTATTTTCTTTACCTCACCTGTAACTGCTGAGACGTTGAGGAACATGCACACTGACCTGCTCTGGCAACCTGATTTCCACTGTACGTAATAGTATTTGGTTATGGTATATTATTTATATACATCAAAGGCACAATGCACCCCCCAGAGACACACATGTATTGAGTGTGATATGTTGCATAGGTCATGTGAAATCATCTTTACATACTAGAAAACTGTAGGAGCGGCAACTTGTTTTGAAATTGAATTTTTAATATCCGATAATAAAGTTGATCTGTTTTCTTTATTCTTCTCTCTTCCCAGCTCCATCCATCGCCATTCTCTGTTCCTGCAGGTCCTGCTTGCTAATCAATGCTCATATTTTTTTACACAATTACAAATAAAGTCATTGTATTGTATGACATGAAGTTGTGCTTCATTCGGAGTCAATAATAAATTAATTCTGCCTTCAACTGCGCAATGATTGTGGACTGCACCGACATCCATGTAGCTGCCCCCCAGTAAGATGAACCAAGCAAAGAGGGTCACCATCATGCCCAAGGACATCCAGCTGGCCCGCCACATCCGCGGAGAGAGGGCTTAGACTGACCTGAGACCAGCACACCCAAACACAACGGCTCTTTTAAGAGCCACCTACATTTTCAAAGAGTTGCAATCCTACGTTATTATAATGATTTAAACTGGTTCATGTGTCACTTAGTTTACTGAACCGTGATGAATGAAAGTGAAATGAGTGAGGTAGTGGTTTACTGAAGTTACAAAGACATTAATATATGAGTAACAGGTCAGTGTAAACACAAGCTTCTGTCAATTATGGATCATTCAAACTATTTATATAAAAATATGTAATAAAGTTCTAAAACAAGTATTCGGTATATTCCTTGATAGCTTTTGGAGAAGGTTGTTTTTAAGTTTACTAAAATCTATCGTTTCAACTGTTTCACTTTATAAAAAAAGAACAGGTGAGTAGAGCATCATTGAGTTTCTTATTCTGTCAGTAAATTATCCAAATGAATGTTTTTCATTATTTTAGTCAACCATAAACAAATTGATTGTACCTTTTAATGATGACCTTACATGGTCGGCAAAGTTAAATTAACTTCATAAAATCAAATCTGTTCTGAGAAAAAACTAATAAATGTTTAAAGATAGGAACTTGCCATCCCACTGAAAAACAGTCCGTAGAGATTTAAAGGCGTAGTTGTAGTTCAATCCAACGTTTCATTTGGATTCATTTCTCCAACAGTCAACTATTTTCATAAAGAATATATATATTTTTCAAAGTCAACTTTATTGTCAATCTTACTCAGTTTGAGAGATCAAAAAGACGTTTAAATAAAATTATACAATTTACAGATATGTATACAAATATATATATCCTATATACCATCATGTATAATGATGGTGTATGATGTAGAAGGAAGTGTGTTAGATAACAAGTAAATATAGAGTTACATACAGATCCATGTTACAGCAAAAGATGGAATAACTCAGAAGCACGCAGTATAATAATAATTACATGCAACAATTAAATAACTGCTCAGCATCTCCACCACAATCCCAATCTGCTGTGTCCTGTTTTCCTCTCCTCTGAATAACACCCCATCACACATACGAAACACAACGCAGAGTCCGAGGGTGTTAAGAGTATGTTTATTGAAATGTCCTCCTCTCTACTGGCCAACACAGGGAGCATATGCTGGGTGTAGAATTGTTCCAGGAGGAGGAGATTTCCATGCCATGCAGGGTCTTTGGGGATGGGGATGATGATTGCCTCCTTCGTGGTCCACACAACAAAGTAGCAGAGACTCCGGTCTGTGATATGCAGCTGCCCTTGGACCTGGTGCCAGTATGGGTGATTCTCCTTGAGAATATATGACCCACCCTCCTCACGGAGACAGAAGGATGGTAACTGGACTGCCTCCGCGATGGTCATGTTCCTCTGGCTGTGTGGACACTTCACCTCCAGCAGGGCAGATGGCTGCACAAGTCCATCGGGTGATGCTCCCAAAACACCCGACTCACTCACAAAGAGACGAGACTCGATTCAAACACTGTCACTTGATAGGCCTCCACAAAAGCCTCCACAAAAGCCTTCACCCCTTCGGCCTCGTTTACAACCCCCCAGTTGACAGTTGGCGATGTCTCTGGCCAGTGGGTTGTATGTCTCCTCTCGCTGTTGGTAAAGTTGAGACACCGGCTGGACTACTTTGGAAGTGCCAGGCTTCCTCCACTGGCACTCAACATCTCTGGAGCTGATCTGCCACATGGCAAATATTGCCAATGCTGCAGCGTGGCTGCATTTGTACATCTCCTGTGCACAATCACAGACAGCGCTCTTTATCGCGCTATCGTCTCCCATGCAGATCTGTACAAATAAAGTAAGTACCATTTGTTAGCATGCTATAATAGATTGAATGAGCAATAATACAAGGATGGTCCGGATCTGGGGGTGGGAGGGTTTATTTTTCCATAGTTTTGTCCTCTTGTCTGTTGTTATTGTTTGTTTTTCCTGTATTTTTTGTAATTTGTGTTGTATTGGTTGTGATTGTACATTGTATTTTTCTAAATGTGTATGAATACATTTTTGAAAAACATTTGATCAACAATAAAAAAGGATTTGGTCAGGATCTAGACTCAGTGTGTTGTTTATTAATTAATCAATGCTCTCTACATTAGGAAAACACATACCAGTGTACCAGAGGGAGTCACACACAGCTGTGCCTAGATAACCAAAATCCTTGAATCTACACACAGCAAATAAAGTCAAATTCCTCAGAGACACAGCAACCGCCATCTCACCAGTCATAGCTCACATAATTAACCTCTCCATAAAACAGGGAAAAGTACCCAAAGACTTCAAAATTGCAAGAGTAACCCCCCTGCACAAAAAGGGCAGCAAATTGGACCCAGGCAACTACCGCCCTGTTTCTATACTTACCTCCATCTCGAAAGTCATGGAAAAAATAGTATATGAACAGGTCGAAAAGTACCTCGCGGAAAAGAAACAAATCTATGAATTTCAATCTGGCTTTAGAACATCCCACTCCACTGACACATGCCTTCTTTATTTGAGCGACCACATCAAACAAGAGGTGGACGAGGGCAAGTACTGCGGCATGGTGATGCTGGACCTACAAAAGGCTTTCGACACTGTCAATCACCCCATTCTGATTGACAAGCTAAAAGCAATTGGTTTTGATAAACTATCGGTGAGCTGGATGCAATCCTACCTGGAGGGGAGAGAACAGATGGTGGAGGTAAACGGTACTCTGTCCCCCCCCCCTCCCAGTGAGCTGTGGTGTTCCACAAGGAAGCATATTAGGTCCGTTACTGTTCCTAATTTATGTAAATGACATGTCATCAGCATGTGACTGCAACTTGTTCCTGTTCGCGGACGACTCAGCCCTGCTGGTCTCTGACAGGAACAGGTTGCAGGTTGAAAAAACCCTCAGCTCCGAGCTCGGCAGAATCTGCACCTAGCTCGCCGATAATAAATTATCATTACACCTGGGTAAAACAGAGTCCATTCTCTTCGGTTCAAAACATAATCTCAGCAAATCCGACGACTTCTCAGTTGCAGTGGGCGACATTATTGTCACAAGTAAGAAGGAAATTACATACCTAGGATCTATTCTTGAGGCAAACCTCTCCTGTGACAAAATGGCAT